AACTGCACCCAACCAAAATCACACACACACACACACACACACACACACACACACACACACACACACACACACTGTTTTAAAAGCAAACCATATTTATCCAACTCCATTTCAAAACAGTCTGTGGGTCCCATCTTTTGGACATTCATCATATTGCATTGGTTTTCATTTCTTGTCCTCGGAGCACTAATCTTACACATTCTACATTGATTAAAAAAAGAAAATCGAATGTGTTTTTAATGGCAGTATTATTTTATACAGAAATCAATTATTTATAATTCAGATGAGAATAATAATACATTGTCAATTAATAATGTTAATTAAAATGAAAACAAAACAAATATATTGATCTGAAATATAGCAAAATAATTTAAAATTAATTCAGGTACAATTACCAAACATATCGCAAGGTATTTTTGTCTTTTTATTAATTTAATTAATAAACTAATTATATAAAACTATTGTCAGTGCACTACAAATAAACTGGTTCTATGCCTTTATTAATAAAACTTATTTAAAAAATACAATGCCTTCTGCATTTTTGTTTTGCTTTTTCCTCCATTGTACCGAAATCGTACCGAACCGTGATGTCTGAACCGAGGTATGAACCGAACCGTGACTTCTGTGTACCGTTCCACCCCTAGTTGACAATATATGGAAAATTAAGGATAATTTTTGGCTTCAATATCTCGAGAAAAGATGACTTTACCCGTAGCGTAAGCAACTTACGCAATACTCGTTCCCTCTACTAGAGAGAACCGAGGTTACGTACGTAACCGAGCACGTTTTAACAGCAACAAATTTCTAAAGGTTTGTGTGTGTTGACGGCTGGTTAGAGGGCGGAAAAGTGAGTGCTTCACTGTTTCAGTTCACTGTCCAGTGTGGCCGCGGTCATTCCCCTGTGTGCTTCGGCACTGGTGATGGGTCCTATTTCCTGAAAGAGCAACACGGGTGCGTCTTTTTAAAAAACAAACAAAAAAAAACTTCTTTTTTTTTTTAAAGATGTCATTCCACCTGTGCGTTTCTGGATGCGGTCGTTCCCTTTTCTTCTCTGACGGTCACAATTGTTGCATCACGTGTTTGGGCTTACAGCACGCTGAAGCAGCTTTTGTGGGCGGTACATGTTCCCATTGCGGGAATATGACTGTCGCGGTGTTGAGATTGAGACTCGCCTTAGTCCGCGAAGCGCGAGTCCCCATTACCATGCCCCACCCCTGGCTGCCGTGTGGGATGGGTGAACGGAGGATAGTGATGGAGGTCTCGCCCGGTAACCATTCTCTGTGGGCTCCTCACTCCTCCATCACACTGCAGCCGATGGAATTCCTGTTGAACGTGCTGGTCCCTCTATAAGGGACCGAACAGCCGTTTCAATTGGGGTTCCCCCAGAGGATAAGATGTCGATAGCAGCATTGGAGGGTGAGCTGGCCTCTGGAGATGACGACTCGTCTGTGTTTTTGTGTGTCAGCTATGCTGAAACGGGCCACCGAGGCTGCCGGGCTCGAGTGGAACCCTCCACCGTGTCCCGTTCAGTCTCGGTTGGAGGATTGGTATCTTGGGGCGGGCCGCGCTGGTTCTCAGCTCGCCTCCCCAGTGCCTTTCTATCCCGAAGTGCATGGAAAGCTTACCAGGTTGTGGATGGCACCTTTCTCTGCCAGAAACTGCCTGAATAGCTTTTCCCCCTCACTACCCTTGATGAAGGAGCGGTGTCCGGCGGCCGCTGCCTTTTGGGGGGATCCTCGTCTCCCCCCTAAGGCCTGTGAGTTCTCGTCCGTTCCGACGGGCAGAACTTACAAAGCCTGTGGGCAAGCCGCCTCCTTTTGCGTGCCATGGCACTGCTACAGGTCTGTCAGGCCAGGGCACCCATGGACATGCACGAGGGTAGCCCAGACCGTGCGCTCATAGGTGAGCATCGCACTGCATCTGACCTCGCCCTCCGGGCACGAGTGTCGTGGCATGCGCGATCGGTCTGGCGGTGTCCACCTTAGTGGTCCAGGAGCGCCATCGTTGGCTCAGCCTGGTTGATATGGCGGATGCGGATAAGGTTCGGTTCCTGGTCTCCCCAATTTCCCAGGTTGGGCTGGTCGGCGACACGGCGGAGAACTACATCCAACAGTTCTCTGCCGCCCAAGTGCAGACTGAGGCCATCCGGCACATCCTGCCCCGGCGGCCCGCTGCTGCCTCCACGCCGCCGCCGGTGGCAATTCCTCCGCCTACTCGTCGCCGAGAGCGTTCCCCTGCCGCCGCTCCCACTGGGCCTCCGCAGCAGCCTCCAGCCAGGCCTCAGCATGGAGCCAGCCGCAGTAGGGACGCCCAGCCCGCCCAGTGTGTGTGTGTCTGTTCCTCCGCTGCTCCCAAAAGAAGCGGAGGAAGCGGTACCCACACTCCAAAGAAAGACAAAATTCCTCTGTTCCTGGGTCCCAAGAGGGCGAGTCTGGCGGTGTGCCCTGTAACCCTTGCACCGCTCAGCCCCCTCTTGTTCGCCAGCACGGCAGCTGGGTGCGGTTCGAGGACCCGGTCATCCGCCTTCTCACGCATCCATGGCCGTCTCGTGGAGACAGGTAAGTGTCATACACCACACTCAGACCCTGCTTCGGGCCACCTCCGGGCCTTCCGAGCCGGGTCCCTGTCCTCCACCTCGCTGCCCCACCTCAGGTACGTCTGTGGTTCCCTGGCCCCTGGCACGGTGTGTGTAAGCCTGAAGATGCTTCCTACCGCTCCAGCTGACCCCGAAACTACCAGCAGACTTGGCTTGCGATTCATTTCGCTTGGCTTCGCCCTGGCTCAGTGATATTCATCATACCTAGGTGTTGAGCTGAGATGCTCCTAAGATTAGTGATATTTATCACACCTACGTGTTGAGCGCTGCTCCTGCCCTGTGTGTGCACGTCGCAGTCCTACTGGCGAAGGACGCGATGTTGCCTCTCCTCCAGCCGATATGAAGGCCGGTTTCTATAAACCCGTACTTCATTGTACCAGATCGAGTTCCCTCGACAGCCTTCCTGACTTCCCCTGAATACATTTCAGGGACGGGGCATGATGGCACCCGCGTTCAAAGAACTGGACGGGGAAGTTCAGGTCGCTATCACAAGGGTATGTGGTAGAGACCATCACTTCTGCAAGCACCCCCTTACAATAAGGCAGTTGTGCTTCGCTAGTCAGGAGTGGAACCTATTCGTTGAATGAGTCTTCTCTCCGTGAGGAGATCCTGAGAGCGTTCGGTCATTTCAGTGCTCTCTTTCCTGCAAGTTGGGTTGGAGTAGGCTGTTCCTTCACCCTAAATATGATACAAACATCATATGCAGAAGTATGGGAAGCACGTCCTGATCGTCAGGTTCCTGAGGGAGCAAGGGTCATCCCTGCGCCCCTCTTTATCCTCCTCGGCCTGTCTCTGGTGCTGTTGCAATGCAGAGACCGCCCCTGAGCCACTGCAGGCATTGAGTTAAAAATTCTGTTTTTAACAGTTATCCTGCTCGCATGGTCTCTTCTAGAGGGTAGGGACTTGCTCGCTTTCGGTCAACGACTTGTGCCTGAAAATCGGGCCGGCTGAGACCCCGGCCTGGATATGTGCCCAAGGTTCCTACCTCTCCCTTAAATGGACCAGGTGGTGAGCCTGCAAGCGCTGCCTGGAGGAGGCAGACCCAGCCCTGGCTTTCTCTGTCCGTCTGCTTCATTGCGGTTTTAGGTGCACAGAACGCAAGCCTTAGGACCTCAGATCAGCTCTTATCTGTTAAGGAAATCAGCAGAGAGGGAAGGCTGTTTCCAAGCGAGGTTGGCCCACTGAAGTGGCTGCCTTCATCTTGGTGAAATTCCCGAGATGCACATGTCCACTTAGGTGGTGAGCTCCTCTTAAATGAGTGTGTGCTCCCGCTTAGGCGTTGACACAGAGTGCTTCGCTGACAGATATTCTAGATTTGAGGGCTGGGCGACACCTTAGTCGAACCGCTGCTTCCCGTGGGCTCCCTTCACATGAAAGTCCGGTTTCACTGTAAGTCCGGTTCGTTGTGTCGGCTTGCTGCGCCATTCCCCTCCTATGGACTGGATACGTGCGCAATTCTTGCTCCAGTTAAGTTCCCCTTTTTAGCCGAACCCTGTCGAGTTCCTCCATACCCTTCGGCAACGGACATGGCGGAATGTCCGAAGCCAGGCCTATCACTCGTATGCACTGGTGGAACCTGTGTTAGGCTGGGTCCATATGCTGTGATCTCTACGGCGATCCCATATGTGTATTCTTCCACGGTACGGCTCCCTGCGGCGAGCCCGTGTCTTCCCTTGGCAGAGCTGCCGTCTGCCGTCACTGTTCGGTTGAGTCTCCCCCCTGTTAGGCTGGAGCCACCCCAGTGGCTCCAGCCTAACGGTGCCTAACAGTGGCTTCCATATGTTGTACTGCCCGGTCATCCGCCCAGTTCATATGTGTATTCTCCACGTTACCTCCCTTCGGGCAGGATGTGGCTTCCGCAGCGTCCCTTCCTTCCATGTTCAGGGAACGCTTTCCCAGTGGTCCTGTAGGAACAGCAGTGACTTCCCTGGCCTAAGCCCTGTCCCTTCCCCGCCTAATTGCAGGGGGATCTGGAGGCTTTTGTCTAGGCACTGGAAGGTGGCAGCACTAGATTTTAATTGGGATCCCAATCAGTCGACACATCGACTACGTTGAACGTGAGTTACTGAAAGAGAACGTCTTGGTTACGTACGTAACCCTCGTTCCCTGAAGGAGGGAACGGAGACGTAGTCCCGTCGCCACTATTGCTGGACCACCGCTGACTCCGAGTTACGCTCGGCTCCTCAGTGAAAAACGACTAGTGCGTGCATCCACTTCCGTATTTATACCTGCACCGTGGGGGCGGAGTGTGCAATGCATTTCACGCACGCCAATTACATTGGCTCGTTTTAATAGTACTCGAAGATGACAGGCTCTCTAAGTGTGATCCCAATCAGTCGACACGTCGACTACGTCTCCGTTCCCTCCTTCAGGGAACGAGGGTTACATACGTAACCGAGACGTTCTCAATAGTATATGTTGGTTTGTTGAGCTGTAAAGATCCCTTGCAAGGTTTCATTTTTTAAATGAACAACACTACACCTGAGAGAAAGTTTAACATTCAGAATACAACCTCTTTTTTTAATGCATTTATTCAGGAAACATGACACTCCATTTGTAGTCAGACTGTCAGATCTGCTAGAAGGAGATCATTCACTGTCAGACTCGTCTTGTGTCTGTACGGTGTCTCGTAGGGCAGCATACTGTGCCATGTTAGGCAATCCTGATGCTACACAACAGCTCAGAGCACTGCGGAAAATGGCCATTTCATTTCCATCAAACCTGTATAGAAAACAGATGCAAGGAATGCAATGAAATATAGTCTGTATTAGACTTATAGACTTATACTTATATCTAACGCAGTGTGAAATGATCTGTGAGATTTAGTGTTTGTGGAAGTTACCATTCATCTGTCTTCTCATCGTAGCACTCCACATCAGAGGTGGTGCTGAATCCATTAAAGCCTCCGACAGCAAACAACTGACCATTAACTACCTGGATTTTGAGGAAGTTAAAAAGGAAAATAAATAATGTACAGATAATGTCTTTAGCTTTACATTAATAAATCTTATTATAGATGCAATGCTTCATTTAAACATAGTTATATTGTTTTGACACGCATTGATCTTTGAACCCTTCTCCAATTAGGGTGCAACTTTCCAATTATTCTCAATAGGGGACCAAAAAAATGTTTCCCCCATATTCATTATCATCAAATTATTATTGTAAAGTTATTTCATAGTTTCACCCGAGACAGATATTACCTGTCCACATCTCACCTCAATGCCAAAGTTGCTGCGTGGATTGTACATTGATGCAACGTCACGCCAAATGTTAGTCAGCGGATTGTAGGCCTCCGCACTCCGCAAACGACTGGCACCATCAAAACCACCAACCTTTAAATAAATACACTTGTTATTTATGTATTCTGTGCATTTGTATATGCACATTGCACATCCATGCATGCATTTACATAAGTGCAACCTTTAAACTGTGATTGTTCCATATTTCTGTATTTGTGTCATGGTTATTATAGTTAATTAAAACTATAACACTGATATGTGTGTGTTTAATACTCACAGCATACACTAGATCTGCATAAGCGATCACACCAACACCACTGCGGCGGGTACTCATGGGAGCGATGAGAGTCCACTGGTTTGTTTCAGGGTTGAAGCTCTCAGCAGAGAAGAGACACTCGATCCCAGTAAAACCACCACAGATATAAATCTGACAAACACAAAAATAACATGCATGATGTTTGTGCACAATCATCACAGATTGATCAGAAAAGCAGTGTTTAAAACACTCTGTAAATTGTATGATATTCCTTTTCATATTTACACTATTCCCATGCCATATCTCAATTTCACCTTTCCTTCATGCTTTACAGGCATTAATAGTGTCCAGCAGAATAGTGTGGAATCATGGGTAAGTGCTCTTACCCTGCCCTGCAGTGAGGTGGCGCTGGAGTCACTCCTCCGTTCATTCATGGGTGCCATCATTGTCCACTGATTGGTGTTTGGATCGTAGCACTCTACTGTTTTAAGCCGTTGGTGTCCATCAAAACCTCCAATGGCATAAATGAGCCCGTCCAGAACAGAAACACTAATATAGCATCGGCGTTCATACATGGGGGCCACCTACAACACACCAAATTCATCAGTGTGCGAACACACATCAATACACCATCTAATTGGTTCTGTCCTATCAGTTGCACAAAAGTACATTATTACTATTATTATTTTTCTTAATGGTATTTTTTTTTTGACACAATCATGATGGCAACTCTGGTGTATTATATTATATTATATTATCTATCTATAAATTACAGGAACGTCTGTCTGTGTATCTGTCTGTTATTCGCATATCTCTCGAACCGTTAGTCCAGTGGATTTCAGATAGGTGTCTTGCTACGGGCACAAGTAAGTGCAGTGCCAAGTTTGACGTTGTTTGAATTAGAAATGCAGGTATCGCTTTAGATTACAGCCCGGAAAGTACTGTGTAATTAAGAGGAATTTACAGAGTAACTTTCGGTAATTATAGTGTACCTATAAAGTACTTGCATGTAAGTAAGGGAACAATATGTAAAGTTTGGGGCATAAAGGGGTAACAACCAGGAGAATTAAAAAAATATTTATACTGTAAGTAACTAAGGGGAACTTATTCTACTATGATACAACAATCTTACATTTGGGAGCAATTTACTGAGAACACTGTGTACCTTTTTGTAATAATTGTGTACCAATACATACTGTATAGGCTATTTTTAAATTACAGGGTACATATCTGTGCATTTATACTTTTATTTATTTATTTTTTGATAGCAAAAGTGCAGATGTTTAAGTTGGGCTAACATGTTTCAAGGCAAGAAAAGCTAAGACTATTGCAATTTTCTTAAATACTGGGAAATATATCTTGTTTCATGTGGTTACAGGGTAAGTGGTAGGCCTACTTGTATAATAAATAAAGGTTTCGAAGTCAGTGATAAGATTGTGTGTATGCATTTTTATTGTTACCCTGTAACTACATGGAACAAGAGGGTAACAACAACCACCACTTTAATTTACGGCCTGCAATGTCACACTTACCCTGTAACTACATCGAACAAGAGGGTAACAAGCACCACTTTAATTTACAGCCCGCAATGTCACATTTACCCTGTAACTACATGGAACAAGAGGGTAACAAGCACCACTTTAATTTACAGCCCACAATGTCACACTTACCCTGTAACTACATCGAACAAGGGGGTAACAAGCTACATGAAACAAGAGTATCTTTCCACAATATTTAAGCAAAAGTTGCAATAGTTTTCGTTTTAAGTGCACTTTTGTTCAAAAGATTACATTTTAAAAGTTATAGGGTACATATCTATGCATTTATAAAGCCTATACAGTATGTACTGGTTCACCATTATTTCAAAAAGGTACGCAGTATATGTTCTTGCTAAATTGATCCCAAATGTAAGATTGTTATATCATAATAGTAGAATAAGTACCCCTTAGTTCTATAATACTTACAGTATAAATCATTTTTTAATTCTCCTGGTTGTTACCCCTTTATTCCCCAAACTTAAAATATTGTTCCCTTATACTTATATTGTAAGTACATTATAGGTACACTATAATTACCGAAGGTTACGCTGTAAAATTGCTTTAATTACGCAGTACTTTCCCGGGCTGTAATCTAAAGCGTAACCGAAATGCAAAAGATATCGGTAAATATATCGGTAAAAGAAGCACACATTGAAGATGTTTAGATGATGTTTAGAAGGTTGTGGTTTAAAAATAAAAATTCTGACATAAATACTCTGTCAGCTAAACATTAATTCAGCTACACTGTTTACTTCTAAATATTATATTTTGTTCACGGCCATCATTTGTAGTAGCCTATTCACAAACTGTTTGCTCAAGCATAGAGTTTTTTCGGAGTTCACTGTGTAGCTGCTCCCTGAATCGTTATTCATGGATGTTAACTGAATCTGTAAGTCAGCTACATTGTTTACTTCTGAATATTATATTTCATTCTGGTGCGCTTAATGTTATCGCTGTTTAATAGTAGCCTATGCTACTCACCAACTAAACATATCCTATTCAATGCGTTCACAGTCTCTTTCACAGCCATCATTTGTAGTAGCCATTCACAAACTGTTTGCTCAAGCATAGCCTGGTCTCAATGCTAAGTTATTACTGTGTCATGCGTGCTGAAGTTAGCCTGTAACTATGTGATGTTGAATATGCTATGTTAAATTGCTGTGTAATCTAATCTAAACTCCTGCTACCTGTACACAGATACATGTCACCTAATATCACCTTTATAAATTTTTATGCAACCAGTTCAATTTTCCATATTTATTGTCAGTATCAGTATTTGCTTTCTACCATACACAAATAAAAATGTCACTGAACTTTTGCTGTGTAATTGTAACAATGAGCACTCAAACACACCAAACCAACAATTACTAAAAACACACAAAACAGATTTTGCACGGGCACTGCACTATTATTATTCAAAGCTACAGCAGTTGCTGGAACACAAACAAAAATGTATCATGGTTTTACCACTTTTTAGACATGTAATATGGTAATACAGTGGTATTCTTTGAAGTAATGTGGAGTACAGCACATCATTCAGCACTATGAACCATGTCAAAGTACAATCCAGTACCATCACTGTACCACAATACTGTTTTATAAAGGAAGCTAAATTAAAGTTACATGTTGACCTACATCACTCACCTCTTGCCAAGTCTGAGTGATAAGATTGAATTTCCTCACTCTGTTGAAATACTCCACACCATCAAAACCACCAATACAGTAGACAAACTCATCCAGGACTGCTGTACCATGATAGGCTCTGGGACGCTCATCCTCTTGAGCCACACTGACCCAGCAGTCTGCCTTCACATCATATGCCTCAATCTCATTGGTGGGATTGCCGTCGCTCCATCCCCCGATGGCCAATAGGATCGATGAGGGCAGACGTGGACGTGTCAGTTGATGCATGAGTTCTGAGTTGGTGGGTTCATCCATGTTGAGGTCAAACAAAGTCTTCATTGCATTGATGATAACAGGCATGCAGGCTTGATTCTCCATCACTAGTGCATTGCCCTTAACATTATTGATAAAGTAGGCTGATGTTATCAACCCCAATCGAACCTAAAGCACAAGGGAGCGTTTAGACTTTCAGAGACTGTTGCAAGACTGTTAGTAAGCAGTTATAATATGGTGTTCAAAAATGAAAAAGGATTTCCAATGTTAATGCTTGAAACGAGAAAAAAAAACTGTCAGAAGGGGAAGAGAAATAAACTTGTTTGCCCTTTGAATTAAGTTTCTTTTTATTACCCCATGCCAGGATTATTGTAGTTAAACTAAAACTAAAACCCTAAAATAAAAATAAAATTAGAATAAACTTTAACTGAAATAAAATATTTAAAAACTTAATCTTAAATAGTTGTCAAGGCACCTTTTCTCATTTTCATTTTATTTCATTTCAAACTGAAATAAAATTAGTAAATTATAGACACATTTAAACAAAAAAGAAATGTAAATGACAAAACCACAAAACAAAATGACAAAAAATAAAATTATAGCAGAAAATGTATCTTGATTTAAGAGTTTTAAGATATGTGTAATGAAAAACAAGACAAAAATCTCTGTTTTACCTTTGGCAAAAGCACTGCAATGTGTTGCCTCCTGTTTGCTGGTGCATGATTAATCCAGTGGAGGACGGCTTCAAAAACCACCTCCTCCTGTTTGACATTCAGCTCATCCTCATCAATGATCTCCTCAAGCTCTTCCAGGGAGAGCTCCAGGAACTCCCCAGATACGTGCAGAACCTCCTCAAAGTGCTGCAGGATGTAGTGCTTTGCTTTACAGCGGAGCTTTGAGCAGGAGAAAAAGTCCTGTGTAAACTTGCAGATGCCAATGCAGTTCTCTGGGCATAAATGTGACTCCAGGAACTGACAGCAGGAATCTACAAGACCTGAGACTAAGATCATTTCAGCCGCCACCAAGAGCTCCACCACATTCTCTTGAGTAATGAGCACAGATCTTGTGTACGCATACTGGATAATAAGAGGCATGATGTCTTGGGATATTCCTGGAATTTCACAGAAATGTTGTGGGCTGCTCCAGTTGTTGGAGAAAAGAGCCCTGTGAACATATTTGACAAAGAAATGCATTAATAATGAGCATATATAAAATAACTTTTCGTTATTTACATTTCAGCCACATTTACTTAGAGAAACAGATTAGTTCCATATTAAATTCGAAATGCTGGGTAAAACTTCATTCATAGCCACTTCCAAAATCAAATTTCAAGAATGTTTTTTTCCTAGATATCATAGTTACATTCTTTGTTCTGGCAATACACTCATTCATTTTCATGCATTTATATATTTGGACAGCTTAGGCAGTTTCAACAGAATGATGTTAGCAGTGGAAATTATGTATTATTATAATTTCTAGGTAATTTGCACACAATTGCAGTTCAAATGCTGCTTCTCACCTAAAGTAGGTGCTGCAGCCACACATGATGATCTTGTGCACTTGAAATTCTCTGTCGTTTGACTTGATGATCATGTCAGTGTGTTCTCCCAGTAAACGTGCTTCATCAAACACGTCAAAGGCTGTGGCTCTTATGTTCTCCATGTTCTTTCAGGACTCTCAGTCTTCTCACCTCAAACTCTGATTAAAGTCACCTCAGGATTTTGTCTTTGTGGGGACTTTTGCTCAGGAGAGTTCTGTAGAATGTCTTTGTGACATCATAGTTGTAGAGCTTGAATATTTTTTCAGTTTGTGTCTTGGCCACACACATAGTTTTGTTTTATACATTCCTTTTGCATAAAACATATTCACAGTCACAAAGATATTATTAAAAACTCAGTGACAAATAAAATAAATAAACCATGGGATAATTAGTGATTTGATCATCCATTTTGATTGCACAAAATACTAGTGAGTTTTTGACAGTAGGACAGATTTTTCTTGCATGGTTTGACTGTGACCCCAAATAAGTTTAACAGAGGCCTGTATGGAGATAATTATTTTTCACAGATGTCATATTCCCATTCCATTTCAAGGTCACACAGCATTAGGCCACATCATGAGTGCAATGTCTTACTTTTATTGGTTAAATCGGTAAATTTTATATGTAATTATATATTATTATTATAAGTAAAATTACAAATAATTGACCATGCTGTTTTCCCCCCCAATATTTACAAATGGAAAATACAACAAACAAGACTTCGAACAGTCACTAACACATGGCTGTATCTGAGATTGTTCCTTATACCAGCAGTTTGGTTTTGGCCACTGGTTTGGCCATGGGACCCACATTTCCCCATGGACATTAAGCCGTGACCCAATTATTTTTATTGTTGTTTTTTGTTTTTAGGAATTTGACCTATAATATATACGGTATTATCATGATTTTGAAATAAGTAGCAAAAAAAGTGTTGCCATACTATAACAGGTTTTAGTATATAACTTTTTGGATGTGTCACGGTTCAGGGTGCATCATCGGCTTCTTCCTGTTGTCTGTGTTTGTCCTGTCATTTTCTGCAGCTTGTGACCTGGGAAATCAGGGCTGATTCTGTGCAGCTGCGCACAGATTAGTTGATTTCCCTCACCTGTTGCTTGTTTCATTTTCCTTTATATTCTCTGCTGTGTCTGCCCCTGTTTGTCAGTAGATTGTTTTGGGTGTTGTCTCATGTGGATCTGTACTGTTGTGTTTCTTGTCTTACCTTGTTCACCATTGTGCTCAGGACGCTTAGACGAGGAGTTATTGCTGATCGTCTCCTGGCTGTTCATTCTCTCGTCTCGTTTCCCATCCAAGCTGTGCGCTGCTTCTGAGGTGGTCTTCTCAGACTGTGTGTCCAGTGAGCCTTTTGGACAGATCTGGAGATCCCTTTTCTCACCTTTACTTTTGAGCACTTTTGTCACCAACCTTGGAGGTTGTATCAATAAACTCTTTTCACCTTACCTCTGCATTCGAGTCCTCTGTTCAGATCCCATGACAGGATGTTATAGCATACATGGATGACAACCATGACTACAACAGTAGCCTGCACTAATCGGTTATTGGGTAAATTAACCGATAACATTGAATGGGCATAATTGCAATTTAAGCCCTCTAAATCAAGGAGCATCTCTATAATTAAAGGCAAAGTAGTAGATAAAACATTCTTTATTAATGGTGAGGCAATACCAACAGTGTCTGAGAAGCCAGTGAAGAGTCTTGGGAGATGGTACGATGGGGATCTAAAGGACACAGTTCGAGTGGGAGAAGTTAGAAGACAAGCAGTGGAAGGGTTGAAGAGCATAAACAGCTGTGCTCTACCAGGCAAACTAAAACTCTGGTGCTTTCAGTTTGGTCTACTGCCGAGGTTGCTGTGGCCACTGACTGTGTACAAGGTTTCTTTGACAACAGTAGAGAAGCTGGAAGCTTTAATAAGTTCATACATCAGGAAATGGTTGCAGTTCCACGCTGTCTCAGCAGAGTGGGACATTATAGTAAAGGAATATTGCAGCAACCAGTCTCCGCTTTAACCTAGAGATGTTCCGATACCCTTTTTCCCTTCCTGATACCGATTCCGATACCTGGGTGTGTATCTATACAGCTGCAATTCATACTAGCCCTGTATGAATTGATAGAATTATTTTATGGTGTGCTTCAGACTTATCCCTTAATAAAACATGAACAAATGCATACAGTGAACTAGAGTATTTTTATTATCTGACATACTTTTCACAGCAATATATTATTTATTTTTCTTAAGTGAAAAAGAACTTAAAATGCAGCCACACATCTAATACTTTAAACTGAAAAATGTATTTTAGATTTACAATATATCTGTATAAAAAGTGCAACAAATAAATCTAGGAATCTAAAAAATTATATATGAATAATATAAGAAAATAACCTCTTTATAACTTAAAGTCCAGAAACAATTTAGTTAAATATTGTCGGTTAAATTTGTCGAAAAATAAATACATTTGTCGGTTATATTTATCGCTTGTTGGCTGTCTTTTGAAAACTTTTCTCTTCGTTTGAATGAAGCTTCCAGAGATTGTTGATTCTGGAGCGGCTCATCCTCCGTTTGCCATCGTGTTCTGCGGGGTGACGCGTCTTCAAATGCTTTATTAAGTGTTGAAGCTGCTAATCTTGTGCCACCCCTCGAAATTTCAGTATGGCATATGAGACATGTCGCCGTTTTACTGGCTGGTTGGTCCAGTCTTAAATACTGCCAAACAGCGGACATACTGCTAGCGCGCGCTTTCTTCTTCGCTGCTCTAAACAGTGGTTGCTTGTGACAACAGCACAACTTCCTGTGTTGCCACAAGCAACCACTGTTTAGAGCAGCGAAGAAGAATTGATCTCCGATTTGCAGCGTTAAGCAAAGCTAGTGTGCATAACTAGTTATTATTTAAGAAAAGGGTATCGGATCGGTACATGGGTACCGATCCGATGCCAGAATTTGTATTGGTATCGGTGGCATTTCCGATACTAGTATCGGAAGCGGAACAACTCTACTTCAACCGAGGAGTTGAAGTGCGCCAAGGTCAGACTGGAAATGACCTTAGTAAAGTCACGCGACAAATGTGTTAAAAACTGGAAGAAAGTGCTCAGCAAAGAAAGCTGTTGTAGCAAATTAGCTCTATGAAATATTAATAATCAATCATAACTTGTTATAATTGATTATGAATATTTGGATCAGTTAATCAGGTTAACTTGATGTAGCTACATTAAGATTACAACCAATTACTCGGTTCATCCCGTGAACACTCAATATTGGTTATTAATTGATTAATAGAAATGTATATTTCCGGAGCATGGGAAATGTCTTTCTTACTAAGTACTACTAAGAGCAAGTAGTCAAGATCTATGATTAGTGACTCCAGATATGAGCTTGAGACACGGACAACTTTACGTGTGACATGAACAAGATTTTATTAACTGGACTAAACATTTAAAATACTCTAACATACACATCCATACATGCATACAGTTTACCAAGGGAAAGAGAGCTGAAGCAGAATACAGGAAAGCAAGAAGTAAATAGCATTGTTTGAAGTTCAGCAGATCAACAGCCTGAGCAAACCATCAGTTTAGTTCTAGCACGCCCTTCTTTAAAAGAAGGATCTGAAGGACGCATACTTCCACATTTCCATCCTTCCATGTCACAGGAAGTTCCTGAGGTTCGCTTTCGGGGGCGAAGCGTACCAATATCGGGTTCTTCCGTTCGGCCTAGCTCTCTCCCCTCGCACTTTTACAAAATGCATGGATGCAGCTCTAGCACCCCTGAGGCTCGAGGGCGTCAGGGTGCTCAACTACATCGACGACTGGCTGATACTGGCCCAGTCGCGAGAGCTGGCGATTCGCCATCGAGATGTTGTCCTCGCCCACATCCAGAGCCTGGGGTTGAGACTCAACACAAAAAAGAGTGTGTTGACGCCCTCCCAGAGGACTACGTTCCTGGGAGTTGTATGGGACTCCACGGCGATGCGGGCACAGATGTCTCCTGCGCGCGTGAATTCCATACTGGCAATGGTCTCCAGAGTGAAGCTAGGCCACAACCTCACTGTGAAGCAGTTTCAGAGACTGCTGGGGCTCATGGCAGCAGCGTCCAGTGTTATACCTTCTGGCCTGCTACACATGAGACCCCTACAGTGGTGGTTGAGAGCCAAGGGATTTTCCCCGAGGGGAAATCCGTTCCGTATGATCAGGGTAACGCGCAGATGCCTTCGTTCCCTCGTCATATGGAGGAAACCTTGGTTCCTGTCCCAGGGACCGGTGCTGGGAGCATCATGTTGCCGGAAAGCCGTTTCAACAGATGCCTCCCTCACTGGTTGGGGCGCGGTCATGGACGGCCGCTTTGCGAGAGGTCTGTGGGAGACCCGGCACTCTTCCTGGCACATCAATTGCCTGGAAATGCTGGCGGTCTACAAAGCTCTGAGGAGTTTTTTCCCGGACCTCTGCGGCCACCATGTCCTGATACGCTCGGACAACATGTCCGTAGTCGCGTATCTGAATCACCAGGGGGGTCTGAGGTCGCGCCCTCTATGCAGACTGGCACACCAGATCCTTCTGTGGTCCCAGGGGAAACTGTCGTCTCTCAGAGCGATGTATGTCCCTGGGGATCAAAATCAGGGAGCAGACATCCTGTCGAGGCAGGGGCTGAGGCCCGGGGAGTGGCGACTCCACCCTGAGGTGGCGGAGGCCATGTGCGTGAGATTCGGCCCAGTGGAAGTGGATCTTTTCGCGTCTCGAGAGACGTCCCACTGTCCACTGTGGTTCTCTCTCAGGTATCCAGCTCCGTTGGGGCTGGACGCTATGACACAGACGTGGCCGAGGCTGCGTCTGTACGCATTTCCCCTGATCGCTCTGCTCCCGGGAGTCTTGGAGCGGGTCCGCCGGGAAGGGATCAGCCTACTTTTAGTAGCACCCCGCTGGCCGACCCAGATATGGTTCTCGGACATTGTAGCACTGCTAGACGGCCTCCCGTGGCAGGTCCCTCTGAGGAGGGATCTGCTGTCTCAGGCAGGGGGCACAATATTTCACCCCCGGCCAGAGCTGTGGAACCTCTGGGTCTGGCCCCTGAGGGGGCTCGGTACCTAGAGGCTGGCCTGTCAGCAGGTGTTGTCGAGACC